TATAGAAACTTTGTACAAATATATATTAGTTACATAGTAGTTCAAATAAATAAAAGCAGGACTGCTTAAAAAAAAAATAAAATAAAATAAAAGAATATCTTTTATTTAGCTAATATTTATTTTTTATTCTTCTAATATTTATCTTTTATGCTTTTATAGATCTGTTAAACACATATAGCAACTAAATATATAATTACTATACAAGAATCGATATTAGGATATTAATAGATATCTTTTATTTATTCTGTATTTACTTTTTATGTTGTATCAGTATTTATCCTTTATATTATCATAAATCCGCCAAATAGCTATAGCAAATCAGATTAAAAATGAATATATAAAAGATAGATATTGGGATATAAAAAGGTACCCTTTATTTAGCTAATATTTATTTTAAATATACTAATATTTATCCTTTATGTTTTTAATATATATATACAGCAAAACAGATATATAATTATTTTATAAAAGATTGATATTGTGATATTAATAGATATTCTTTATTCATCTTAAGATAAGTGTCTTTATTATGATACAGCTAATCTTGCCCAATAGCAAGTCTTTATTGAATTAACATAAAAATACACAGTTTTTACTAAATTTAATACATTCCAACTTAGAATAAACATTTGTTTAAAAAAAAATTTTTTTTAGACTAAAAAAATCTAATCCGTATTAGAGTAATATAAATCTTTCCAAAATCGAGATTATCAAAAGATCATCCCTAATTTGACGCACTAGAATAAAATCAAATAATTTTTAAATTTTTTCTTTTTTATATCAGTTCATATCCTTAATACGTTGCTTTTCTGCCTTCAAACATTCTGTTTCCTCCTTTTTTTCTCTGTGCCTCTTGCTTTTGCATCTTCTCGGCTTCATGTGCTGTCTATTTTTAGATAGCTTCTTCTTTTTTATATTGCTTCTTGTTAGATATCTTTTCTGCCTTCTCCTTCACCTCTCTTAGTTGCTTCAATGATTCTTCGTTTGTTAAAAACTGGGAGAAGGGCATGGTTTTTCTTTTTGGAAGTTGGGATCCAGATTCTTCTTGATCAGATCCTGAATCTTTAGTTAGTGAATTAAAATGCAAGGGATATTTAAATATTTGCTACAAAGAACTTGTACCAGGGTTATTAAGAGTTTCAATCTCTTCTTCCAAATGTTCAATTCTTTTATTTAATAATCTAATTTTAGACATTGGCTCTTTTTTTGTAGGGTTTGCCTTGGTAAGGTATATATTAATTGGAGCTAACTTTGAACTTTGCAAAGATGATGATTGTAAATAAAAAGAAGATCGTGAAAATGGAAAAGATTATAAAGACAAAAAAAATTGTGAAGACCTGAATGATTGTGAAGACAAAGGAGCTTGTTGCTCAGA